ATCCCCCCCCGCAGCAACAGCAAAAAAATGCAGCAACAAAAAAAACACTCTTACCATGTATGTATGTATATATGTATGTATGTATGTATGTATGTATGTATGTATGTATGTATATGTGTGTGTGTGTGTATGTGTGTATGTGCGTATGTACGGGTGGATGTACGTAAATTTAAATCTCTCGGGTCTCTCTGTGCGTGTGTGTTTCTTCGAGCGTGTGCGTGTCTGTACTGTGACAAAGGCACGACGAGGCTTTCTCCTTAGTAGCAGACCGTCGCAGTCAGCCAGCGTGCCAAGCTGTGAGAGGAAACCCTCCCACGCAATGCCCAGCTGATGAGAACTAGCAATTGAGACCGAAAGCAAAGAGAACGCGAAACAGTCGAGACAGAAACTCTAAACCCAAGTAGCAAAGCCTTGCCTGCTGTGTGCGAGTTACGAGAGTCGAAACCCAAATACTACAACGAGCCGACTGCAAATTCTTTGAGGATAACATCAGTTTCTTGGGCCGAGGCCGAGAGACAGACATGCTGCTAAGATCGCAGATTCAAAAGGCGCTGCTGAGAAACACCTGTTTCAGAGAGTTCCTTATTTTTATGTCTTTACATAAACCCAGCTGTGGTTTCTACGGGTAGGTTTCATCTTTGCTTGAAGCCTTGTTTGGGCATCTCGCATGTGTGGAATTGTTGTTTTTGGGTTCCCGACTTTGGGTTTTTGGGTTCGTGGTTTGATGTCTACTGTAGGGGTTAAGGATTTTACCAGGGTTTAGGTAGAGTTCTTCTGTAAATACGAGTTCACGTCTTACCGTATTTGGTAAGGTGTTTGTGATTGCCCTCACAAGTACCCCACCGGCCGGATGGTAAGAAGCCATTCTGTTTTACGGTTTAATCAAAGTCCCTGGATGCGATCTAGGCCCTGGGTCTGGGAATCGGGTCGGGTTCCAGGGTTCAGGAATCAGGAGCCTACTTGGCATTTTGAAGTAAGTACCCTGAGAAGGAATGATACATATAGTGACCCACATCTACAGGCGCAGGCCAACTGCTGCAAGCTCTGAACGCCCAGAATGCTTCGTAGTGGTTAAATGGTTACCGAACATGTATACATGCATGGGTGCTTAAGCCACGACATGAAAGAAGACCATATCTCTGTCAATCGATATTTCTTTGGGCCAAGCCTTAAATTGCGCCAATGCCTATCTATCTCAAGGTGTATTCCATGATGTTCCGGTTTGGGGACATCCTTCCACAGAACCTGCCAGGCACAGGCCCACGAAGCTCGTACTCGGGGTTCAAGCTCTGCTGAAACTGGGCAGGCGCCTTGCATTTCCGCTTTCTCAGCAGTGGTTCGGAGAAATTCCAATCTTCATTTGTTTAGATGACGGGGCCTAAAGCCTAGAGCCGAAACCCTCAAACTTTACCCGGGTGAAGGGTGGGAAAAGAGATGTAAACAAGAAAATTGGGAAGAAGGTCCAGCAACACAAAGCATGCTCTGCGCTCAACCCAGGGATCTTGGAGCCCCTGATCTTTTCGCTAAATACTCTGCTGGCAAGTGTAGGTCGGTAGTCTTCTCCGTCTCTTTGTCCGAAGACTTCATGGGCGTCGTAGACCCTAAACAACAAACCCCTAGACCCTAAACCCTAAACTCTATAAACCGGGTACGAGGGTTTGGGTTGAAGGGTTTCAGGGTTAGGCCCAGCCACCTTTGTTAGTTCTTTAAACTAGGGACCCTATTACGACAGCCTTGTAAAAACGGACTCCAAAAAGGAACCCTAATTTAGAGAACTGCCCAAAAACACCCTACACCCTGGCTGTGACGCCATCTGCGAGGAGGGGGCTGCCCCTGCCAAGGAGCTCTCCAAGGCGCTGTAGCAAGTTGTGCAAAACAACGAAATAATGATAAAAAGCATAAGAAGAACCATATTAATAATAATAGTAATAATAATCAAGCTCTGGTACTTCTCCCAGTCGGGCACAGGGTGTGTTAGAGCCCGGATGCATGGGTGCAATGCGCATAAGGATCAAAGCCCTATGGTATGCTTTGGCAATCAGTAATCTTATTCCGAATAGATATTCCTGTACAGTCCCTAAGTTACAGTAAAGTATACCGTCAAGCCCGGCTAGGGGCTCGTCAAGGCCAACAAGGAACAAATGCTCTGACGATCCTCCAGGAAAGAGGTTCCGGAACCTAAAGCATTTATGGGGGTCTGGCCGGGACGAAGAAGAAACGTTGGTACTCTCAGACTAATTTTTCTCTGTGTGTCAGTCAGTGGACATGAGCCATCTCGCGTAGGTCGTCGCGATTGCTGCCTGAGCATAAACACGCAGGTCAGGTGAGGATTCAGTACCTGAGATGGCCAAAGACGTCACGCAAGCTGGTGCAAGCCTTTGCTACACGCACTGCTGCTGCAGGTAGAGATGTTTGCCAAAGGCTGTGCAGGAGCGGTCTCCCAATCAGGGGTACTCGAAATTGCCACGGCTCCCAGCAAGCAGACGTGCTTTGGTTTGGCGGTCCAGGGAGTGCGGCAGTGATGTTGAACTCAGAAGGTTGGGCTTGTACTTGTTGCTTTAACCGTAGCCCTAAACTCTCAAAGCCCCCCAAAGTCCTAGACGATTAAACCCCAACCCTAAACCCTGCGAGACGGAAAAGGGTCGCTCAGAAAAACGCCCGTCAATGGTCAAAACCCAGAAAGCCCTAAACCACTCAGCCCGAACGCTAAACCCTAATTGCCCTTGCTAGGCTTGTCCGCGTGTGAGTGTCAACAAAATGCCCTGAGCTGTCAAAACCCATAAAGCCCTAAACCACGAAGCCCATGTCAGCCGGAGGACCCCTCGACCATTTCGGAAGCTGGGGTAGCCGGTCGAAAGTCTGGGTGGCCGTGCGAGGCGAACCCAAGCTACGCCAAGTAGCGGTGGCGTTTGGGTTTGGGGGTTTCACGGTTTGGGTTAAAGGGGTTTGGGGAAGATGGTTTCGTTTTGTGTGTAGGATTTAGGGACGTTTCAGGTTGAGGGTGTTGAGCTTGGAGTTTCAAACTACGGGGCCCCAATACCTAAGGTTCGCCGAATCTCCATTGGAGGTGGTCCAAGTGGAGAGGAAACTTCGGGGAAAGTAGGTCCTATATTTGGTAGAGTCGGTAACCTTTAAGCTTTTTGGGGGACTGTAATCCCTATATTATCCCACAGGCGAACCTTTAGTTACCTTAGTTCCGCAAGGATACTGCGCAAGTATATCCCGCCTTGGAACCTTAAGGACCCTGGAGATCTTTGAGCGAATGTGGCAAGATGAGGCTCTCATATACGTACGTAAGGATGACTTTGGGTAACGGTCCGTATATGAAGGGTCCTCCCCTGTGTTCTGAAACTCCCGTGTTTGCAGAGGTGGAACTAACGATGCTTGGGCTTTGTGCCGTTCATGCAAGTCCCAGCAAAGGGTAGCTGCGTGAGCCTTTCTAGAACCTTGAACTCCGGCCAATAATGTGGAGGATTGAGCTATCCCTGCTCAAGAAAAGTCAGAATGCCCCCTTGTAACCCCCTACACACTCTTCTAACCATATGAGTTAGGTCCAGGTCCGTTTTATGGAGCCCTACAAACCCTTAGAGACCCTTCTTCTATTTGTTTGTTAGGCCCTGGTCGCCGCTTCGTTGTGGAAGCCTTGGGCGCGGGCTTAGGGATTCGGGTTCCAGGTCCCCCAGAGCAGAAGAAGTACACTCTCTGCATCTTCTTCGACGATGACAAAAGAACCGGTGAGAACAAGTGCGCCTTTCCTGACGTTATGGCTTGGATGTGGTTTATAAAGGGCTTACAGAGCGTAGAACGTTTATGGTTTAGTCGGGTTTTCGGGGTCGCTGGATGTTGAACTAAAGATTGAGGCGTACCCCCTTAGCTTTTGAAATTCAATCTAAGGCAATAAGGGCGAGGAGCCACAAGTGGAAGTCGAGCTGCTGAAGGCGGGGTTCGGACAAAGGGGCCGTAATTTTTGAACCCTATAAACAAATGGTATCCCAACCACGCACGGCCTTTGCACAAAGTTCTGCCGCACAACCAGCAACTTGGCAGCAACTTGGTAAGACAAGGCCAACATGGGCAGACAACAGAGCTGGGGTAGCAAAGAATGGGATGTTAGGGAGGTTATGAACGCACTCACTCCCGAAGAGATGCCAGGGGAAGATACACAGAGTGCTAATCACTCAGGAAATGCAGCCCCACATCCTTGCACTCCCGCTTGGCAGGTACTGTAGATTGATTAAAACTATAGCGGGTCGCTACTATACGGGTCGGAAAAATTAACAAGATTATTTCTTTCGGTTCCTTATCAGCGATAAAAAATTCCCCAAGATCGACATGAGGCCCCCCATATTGCATGACGAAGTTGTCTGTCTAGCGGCTGGCAGGTTCTTAGCGTACAGGCAGATCCCGCTCGTGACGAAGTCTTCATCATCAACTACGTCGAGAAGAATGAAAAGAACAAGGCGCTTCAGACGTGAGCATGTGTAGAAAAAGAGCTTAGGTTTTAGGGAGTCCGAGAGAGAGCGGGAGAGAGGGTTTAGGCTTTAGGCGTTAGGCTTTAGGGTTTAGGCATCAGGCTTTAGGGTTTAGGCTTTCGGCGTTAGGCTTTAGGGTTTAGAGTTTAGGGTTTAGGGGTAGACTTGGGCATGGACCTCGGCATCACCAGGTCAAGCAGCGTCTAACTTTTTCTCGTCTCGACCGAGCACGTGACGTCTGGGTCGAAATGATGACATTGCTCATCACGACACTTGGCGTGCATTTGGAAGGTCACAAGGGGACGGCAACTGGTGAGCACTCTCACTTGCAGTTCTGACCGCGTAGAGTTTACTGCAGAGGTCCCAGGATTTTCATGCCTTGGGCTTTTCTGGAGTCTGACAACGTACTCCTATGTCTCTTGACGTGGAGCCTTCTTGAAGTTAAAGGCCTCCACAGGTGCCGTGAATCTTGTGCAACTCTGATCCCAGGATGATCCGTGAGGAGAAAGAGACGAAGCTTCGCAGCACAAGGTGATATAATGCAAGGGGTCGGAACAGCGAGTAGTATGATATCGTCGTCGAGTCCAAAAGTCCAAAATGTTACCACGCCCGAAAATTAATTCACCTGCAGTGTTCATGTCAGTTTACTCCTGTAGATCGCTTTGTGTTGCGCTGTTGCAACACCGTGACGATGCGCATGCTCAGCTCTGAGGAAATCAATTGCGAAGACCAAGAAGTAGATCGGAGAAGCCGTTTCCAACACGAGGCCTAAAGTCTACAAAGGAAACGCAAGATGATTGGAAAAGAGCGAGTGCGTTCAGCAGGTATCTTTCCAGTGCAGCTTCACTTGCAGGCATCATTTAATTACTTGGTGAGCTTGTGGCTGTTCGTTTCAAACTATCTTCTGCCCACAATTAACGGGCGCAAGCTGTTCTGTGTTCACTGGCTTGTAGACTGCACTGTGCAAGTGTCGCCCGCGGTACATTGAGAGAATGTTGCAATGCTGTAGAGCAACTGCTGCCGCAGCACGGACATATGTTTCGCAAGAAGAAAACCCAGCAGTATCGAAATACTAGGACTAGGAAATGTGGACAGCAGAACTTGTCGCCACAATTCTGAGAAGCCCTCGTAAGATCGCAGCAACCATGACACTGGTAGTTGGCCCGTGCTGCTGGCAGGAGTCACCTTAATGCTGCATTCAACATCCTGGCTCTCAGGGAGGAGGTTTGCATTCGCATAGAGGCTCCGGGAAGAGCCTTGCTCATGAGTTTTCTAGCCAGCCCAGCAATTCCAGAACCAAAACAGGGTAAAGACGACGTTGGCATCTTCCGACCCGTATTCGTTCGCTCGTTCCACGAAAGAGGTCTAGTGCTTTGAAGGGCTAAACCCTGCTCGTACACGAACGGTCAAACAATCTCCGCCTTCTTTGACGACACGGGGGGCCATGGCGAACACTTTGGAGCCTCGGCATTTTCGGGGCCGTGAAAAGGCAAGAGTCGGTTTTTTGGTATTCGCATACTATGGCATACGGTATAAGTGTATTGGAATATAAGGGAAGGTACCAAGATATGAAGGCATGTCGGGTTGCGCTATACACTATTCGATTCTGCTCTGATCTCCGGTGTGCTACATTGTCTTCTGTAATTGTTTGACAGTATGTTGAGCCTCGGCCGCAGTACGTGGAGTAGGGTTGATGTTAGGTGTTTCGCTGAGTGTATATGGGGCTCTCCGAAACATTGGTGAATGTATGTTGTGTTTTGCCAAGGTGCGGTTTAGGCACCAACAGACCTTGCAGATCCCGGATTGTAGAATCCTGATTCTAGGAGGTTCTTCTGAAGGAGCCCTGAATTGTTGAAGCCCATCTCAAGCGACCCTCTGCCTGCCATGCAACAGGCATCTTGCTGACAAGATGCGATCTGTTGGGAGAATAGGATCCTTCCCACGTACAAGCCTCCGACCTGTTTTGTGCGGTACAACAGGATCCGGAACCCTACCACTTAGCTTTGCTGATGGCTCTAAGTGGACCGTACCTGACAACTCGACCGACCCCAAGGTTCCCCGCCAGTCCAAGCCTACCAGCTGCAAGACTCAAGCAGCTGAGGAAATTATCGGTGGCTGCAGCGTGTGCATCCTGGGTACTGCTTTTCCTCCCTTTCCATGGCGCCAGCTTCCCGAACTCAGGCCACCACAACAAGAATGATCTTGAAGCGGGAGATGGAAAGGTTTGGCCAGGATCTAAGAAAAGCTCTCGGGCGTTCCCGTGGTTTCGGCGCCTTCACTGGGTTTAAGAACTCTTTGGACTCTGTGCCAGAGCCTCGTAAGGCAACGTGGACGTTTGCCATATGGGGAATCGCGGGAGCCTTACTCTCTGTGCGCTTCTGCGTAAATCTTTGCCCCCGGCTGTACTTGTCTGCGCTGTAGATCCGCCAAAAGTCTATAAAGACTTAGGTTAGGGAAGCCAAGTCTTGAACCCTAAACCTTTGGAGACTGTTCTTAGCGTCCTAAGCTTCTCTTAACATTAAACCGCTTAAACATGCTTAAACCCTAAAGGGCCGATACCAGTGTTGTCGAACCTGATATACTTCAACTAGGCCATGCTTATCTCGAGCAGGAGGAAGCTTTCTCTTTGGTAGGTTGTACTTCAGCCCCTGTCTCTTGTGTCACGTCAATCAGACCTCGAACTCCATGCCTTGCCCGGAGTGTCCGAGTGTGGGCGCCAAGACCTTATAAACCCTAGTAACCCCTGAACCCCAATGTCAATTCAGGCGATAACATCGAGAAAGAGCCGCCGTGGGTGCGCCCGGAGCTGAGCTCATGTCAAAGGTTCTTGGAATTGAATGTAAGTTCAGGGTTTGGGGGTTTAGGTTGTAGGGTTTAGGATGTCAAAAGGAGTTAGGCAAAAGGGGCTATTCATTGTGTATCCGAAAAATTTGACCTAATGATCGGCAGTAACGAAGATCGAAAACCCTACGAGCAGTGAGGAACTTCCGAAACCCCAGCATCAGAGCAGAAGCGTATCCAAAAAGGAACTGAGGCTTAGCCGCTGTGGTGACAACGAGCATCCGTCGCGGTCACAGCACTTCCACACCTCAATCCATCAGCGCAGCCCTAAATGCCTTAAACCATGAAAACTTCACGATAGCGCCAAGACTGTCCTAATCCAAGGCTTCTCAGACCCCAAGGCAGCTGAGGCAGCCGTCGCCCCAGCCTCCTCTGTGCTTTTCTAACTTTGAGCTTCGGGTGAAGTTCCTTTACTTCTGGATTTTGCAGCGAGAATGCACGTCGGAATAACCATCGCGTAGCTGCCGGCCAACGCGAATTATGCTCGCCTTCTGATAATTTCGGACCTCGCCCTACTGTAGGAGCTTGAGGCTTGAGGGTCTTGGGTGCAAGTTAGCTGGATTGATTTAGGCGAAGACTCGAACCACATCGAGGGAAGCTTTTTCTTGACCCCAAGCCCTCGCCGTGGCGCCCAGGCGCTGGAGGCGATATCAACAGGGCAGGCGCAATGGCAATGATGACTTGAAAGTTTGTTCAGTCGACCCGTTGCAAAAAAAAACTTTCAACAAGGTTTTATACAGGGGCAGTATGCAGAGAGAGTGAGAGAGATCGAGAGAGACAAGCAAGAGTTCGCATGTACATACGTATACACAAACACGTCCAGCATGCGTGTGCGTGTGTGTGTGTGTGTACCGGCATGTTTGCTTGTGGAAGATCTGCCAATAGAACCGTAAGATGTATGTGCTCCACATGACGTTATTTACGTTTGGTTTGTTGAGATGCATACATATCCACGGTACACAAGATAAGCATGCACTTGGCGCAGTTCTGTCTGTGGGTCGGGGAGAAACGAGAGGGCAGGGAAGTGCTAGTAAGCAGTAAAGCATGAACAAATTCACTTCATATCGTGGACTGATAGCCCATAGTCCTCACAGGTAATACGGGGCAGAAGGGAGGGCGAAATGATGCATCCGTGTGTATACCCTATGTACATACCGCACATACCCATACGGCATACAGTATATTATACTTATATATACATATAGATATATGTGTAATTACAGGTGCACATGTTCAGTATGCGAACCTCATGTGCGTGTATATGCTGTTAGTTTAGTGCACGTGCAAAGCATTTCAATGCGCACATCTTAGTGACGCGTTTTTCATGCAGCATGCTCAACATGGATCCACCCCCCCCCCCCGGGCATGTGGGCAGGTAGTGATCGATGGCATCATCATCAAAGCTGCCAAAAGCGCAAGAAGAGGCCGAACCGTGTTTTGACATCTAATCAGAAGGCCCTAGCTTGGCATTGAATTTCCTGTGACACGCAAAGCCGAAGCCCAAGCCCTCGCCGCAGCCCTAGCAGAAATCTTTCTCCTACCTATTTCGATTGCGCTGGCACCTCGCTCCATGGATGCCACAATAGAAATACTGAAGTGGAACTCATCCATTCTTGGCGGACTGGCATTGCTCTTGTTTTGCTGGATGCCGTTTCAGTCGACTTACAAATATTACTTGAAAAAGAAACGTATGCTTGTCTGAAGCTTCGTGCTTTATCTGCTCAGCCATGGAGCAACCTGTTATGCTACATCAGTGCTACACGTATTCCTGAGAGACGGAGCCTGCCTCAACCTTGTCCTTGGCTCGCAAAATTCTGGGGTCTCTGGTTTCTTTAGGGTTTAGCCCTCAGGTCGGACGTTGCGCCGCAGAACAGGACATGCAGACAACCCCCTGTGTGCCCTCTGATGCTTCCGTTTAATGAGGCCGCAAACTCTGCGCGCCCACCGCGCGAAAGCCCCTCCAGGACCGTCTCCATGTCCCAACCATGATAACGTCAGATCAGACACCATCCGATCCCGCAGGGCATCCATGGGCCAGCCATGATAATGTGCAGCTCAGACTCCGTCCGACCCCACAGAGCACCCATGGGCCAATCATGATAACGTCCAGTCAGACTCCGTCCCTTCCCGCAGAGCATCCATGTCCCAACCATGGTAACTTCCACATCAGACTCCATCCGTTCCCGCTGAGCATCCATGTCCCAACCATGATAACGTCCAGTCCAGATCAGACTCTATCCGATCGCAGAGCATCCGTGACCCAACCGTGATAGCGTCCAGATCAGGCTCCATCCGTTCGCGCAGAGCATTCATGTCCCAACCATGATAACGTCCAGATCAGACTCCATCCGGTCCTACAGAGCATCCATGGGCCAACCATGATAACGTCCAGATCAGATGCCGTCCCTTCCCGCGCAGAATCGATGC